ATATGCATGATAATATATTTTCCTCTAAATACAAGACAATTTTAAAATATGGCAACATGGCGTCGAAACTCGCTACTTTTGCTCCATCGGACACCTATAACTTAGGACCTGAACTAAAATACAATATGGACGCAACAAAATTTTCAATTTTACATGAAATCATAATTTGTGCAGTTTAAAAAGAACGCAACTTTGATTATTAAAATTTGGCATGAATATTCAAAAAAATATGTAGAATACTGTAAAGATTTTTGAACTGCATCTGTGACTATCATTTTTTTATATTTTTTAATAGTATTTAATAATTAGCAGGACAAATGAAAATGTCTCAATGCAATCACTAAACATTTTAGCTGCCAAAGTTTTACTGAAATCCATCCAGTGAAAGATAGTTCTGTAAATAATTGTAAACCTATGTTTCGACCGGCTCCGGTACGCTTTAAGTACGTCGGAAATTTGAAAAAATGTTGGTACTATTAAAAAGAACGTATTCCAAATAGACAGTTTCTAAATAAAAAAATGCGGATAACTGACTATTAATACAGAAAAATTGAATTAAAAGTTGCAATTTTATAGGTTATACCTATATGGGTTCTATCCAGTTTCTACCTATTACCCATATATGGTAATTTCGAAGTTTTATCAGTAGTATATTAAAGTAACTTACTTTTTATATCTTAACTAAAATTGTATACGAAAAATTATGTCATTTGTTAAATATATTAACTAATTTATAATTCCTTTCCAACATTTGTCGACGCCTTTATAATTGAAGTTGACAAGTCACAAAAGTACACAAGCACAGAACACTTACACAAGTTTGTAATTTGCAACGTTGCCACATTGAAATTTTATTTTCTGTCTAATAATAATTTTTGGTGTTTAAAAAATTGTGAGTAAATATTGGACACGCCCTTTTCTTAAAAATCCATTTTTTACAAAACTTACATTTCAAGCTTTAGGAAGGGGAGACCTTTTCAAATTTACAACCAGAAAATCCATAAATTAACATTTTTTAAATATTAGGGACTTATGAGGAACATTTATGTAAACTTATTCTATAGAATTGGAATTATATCTGTTATTCTCAGACATTACAACTGCGCGGTATTGCCAAGTATCCAATTAAAATCAACGAAAAAGAAATAATATAAAAGAGTACCTTATTTTTGGAATATTTTCAAACACTTGAAGCATTAATTAGATTAAATTTATGTCATTGTTCTTCCTAAAAAACTTTCCTAATTTCTAATTTCCAGTCACATCCGACGATTTATTTATCCGTTTTGATTGAATTGTTGTAGTGCATAATAATTAAATATTAGATCATCTATACTGTAATAAACAATGTACTTTTCGAAAACTCTTAAACATAATTACTTTGTGTTATTCCACTTTTGAAATAAGGAAATTTATTTATTGGACAACGCAGCCAACCAAATTCAACGACTACTATCAATTAAAGAGGATATCCGAATTAGTTCAACATCTACTGGGTTAGCTGTGACGTCACTCGGAGAATATTTTCAGCTGCATCCTTTTTAAAATGTACATCGATACACCCTATTTTGTAATTACTTTAATATTTATTATCTTTAAAATAAAAAGTATTTCAAATATTTAAAAGGTCATTTGATCCAGACAGATAATTAAACACATCTGTAAATTATAGAAGAAAATAAATAGGTAATAAATTTAAATACAATGACCATGTTATCTGAACTAAATATATGTTTTAATTAACAAATATTTGAGAAATTTGTAATGTTAAGGTGTAAGTCGAAATGTATATACAGAGAATGTACAAAAAGTAATGTAGCTGTACTTGTAAATGGAAAAAGGGCGCGCCTGGCCGAACGTCGGTTAGGAGGTGGGTGGATCGAGTATAGCGTGATCTTATGGTGTAGATAGAAGAAGGGCGCGCCCGGCCGACATTTCGAAATTCCCGCAAATTTCGAAATGTCGGCCGGGCGCGCTCGCTTCGCTCTCTATTTTCTGCAGTGGTTAGAAGTTGGATGGGACGATATAGCGTGCTCTTATAGTGTAGATAGAAGAAGGGCGCGCCCGGCCGACATTTCGAAATTCGCGCGAATTTAGAAATGTCGGCCGGGTGCGCTCGCTTCGCTCGCTATTTTCTTTAGTAGTTAGACGGTGGGTAGGACGAGTATAAAGTGTTATTATGATCTAGATGAAAAAAATGCACGCCCATTCTCTTCTGCAGTGGTTAGAAGTTGGGTGGGATGAGTATAGCGTGCTCTTATGCTGTAGATATAATAAGGGCGCGCCCGGCCGACATTTCGAAATTCGCGCGAATTTAGAAATGTCGGCCGGGCGCGCTCGCTTCGCTCGCTATTTTCTTTAGTAGTAAGACGGTGGGTAGGACGAGTATAAAGTGTTATTATGATCTATATGAAAAAAATGCGCGCCCACTCTCTTCTGCAGTGATTAGAAGTTGGGTGGGACGCGTATAGCGTGCTCTTATGCTGTAGATAGAAGAAGGGCGCGCCCGGCCGACATTTCGAAATTCGCGCGAATTTCGAAATGTCGGCCGGGCGCGCTCGCTTCGCTCGTTATTTTCTGCAGTGGTTAGAAGTTGGATGGGACGAGTATAGCGTGCTCTTATGTTGTAGATAGAAGAAGGGCGCGCCCGGCCGACATTTCGAAATTCGCGCGAATTTCGAAATGTCGGCCGGGCGCGCTCGCTTCGCTCGCTATTTTCTTTAGTAGTTAGACGGTGGGTGGGACGAGCATAAAGTGTTATTATGATCTAGATGAAAAAAATGCGCGCCCACTCCCTTCTGCAGTAGTTAGAAGTTGAGTGGGACGATTGTAGCGTGCTCTTAAGCTGTAGACAGAAGAAGGGAGCATATAATACTATTTCGTTGATAATAATTGAGCACTTGGCAACACCGCGCATTTGTAAAGATGTAGTATGACAGATATAAGTCTAAAGAATAAGTTTACATAAATGATCCTCATAATTCCTTAATATATAAAAAGAAAAGTTAATTCATGGGGTTTCCGGTGGAATATTTAAAAAGTACTTTCCTTCCTAAAGCCCAAAATGTATCTTTTGTAAAAAAAATTAAATTTTCAAGAAAATGGCATCTTTGTTCGACAGACTGCGATTCTTATGTAATGTCTCTCTCTATTGTAACGTGTCGAGTTCGCACATAAAACACGAAATCATATAAAAAGAAATTAAACGTCAAATTTAAATTTTCTTTGAATTCCGCGTTAAGTTCTAATTAACTAAATTAAATTTTAAAATGGAATTAAATAATATTATGGATGTTATGATGATTTATAATAAGTCTGATGAAGATTTATTGTTATATTTACAAGAGAAAAATTTAATAAAAAGTCCATTTAGATGCAAGCAAAGAAATTGCAGAAGAACCTGCACGATCCAAAAAAAGGCTGGGAAAATACTTGGGTCCCACAATTTTTGCACACGATGTAAAAAATCCTATTCTTGTGTAAGTGGTTCATTTTTTGAAAACATGAGACTACCTGTGAGAATAGTGTTACTCTTAATGTGGTATTGGGCAGCAGGTAGTCGTGTAGGAGTTACAGCAGCAGCACTTGACATTAGAAAGGCGTCTGTTTTACAAATATTTCGTTATATTCGTAATATTTTATCATGGAAACTGATAAATGAGCCTTTTATGTTAGGTAGGTTTTTTATTCTTGTAATTCATAGAAGGTTTAGAACATATTTTATTTATATTAATTTATAAGTGGCGAAGGACATCTTGTTCAAATAGATGAATCAGTTATAACAAAAAGAAAATACAACAGAGGACGAGTTGTACCAGAGCGATGGGTAATAGGAATTTATGACGTAACACTAAAAAGGGGATACATTCAATATGTTCCTAATCGCTCTGGTCCAACATTGGAAAAAGTCATTAGAGACCATGTTCGTCCAGGTTCCGAAATATGGACGGACAAATGGAGGGCATACGATAATCTCTCCAATATGGGTTACACTCATAAAACAGTGAACCATTCAAAACATTTTAAAGATCCTGAAACTGGTGTTTGTACTAATCAGGTAGAAGGGTACTGGAGTATACTTAAACAGTATTTACGACGTTTAGGCGTAATGTCCAGTCCCTTTCTACCTGAATATATCGACCAGTTTATGTGGGAGGAAATTTATGGAAAAACTTCAAAACATAAAATGAAAAATTTATTAATTCAAATTAGTGAAAAATATTAATTTTTAGTTGTAGTTAATTTATTTTAGTAGTTGTAGTTTTTTTAAATTATTTTTTTTTTTTTTCATTTATTTCGAATGTTTTTTTTAGAATTACAAAATATAAACTTATTATTTTATTTTTTTTATTTAAATCGTGTTTAAAATAAAAGGACATCTTGTTACTAACTGAATCTCTTGGCAACACTGCCATATAAATTGGAAAATCTTAGGTAAGAAACGTCAAAATATTGTAACTTTGATTAAATTTTTCTCAAAAAATAGTGGATTATCCGCATTTTTTTTGTTTTTAATTTACTATATAAAATGAATACTTTTTATTGTTCAATTTTTTTTTTTTCAAATTCCGACGTACTTAAAGCGTACCGGCCCCGTTTCGACCACGTAAATAAAATGCACTGAAATGGCGGCGTTAAGAGTCTCGACTATTGTAGTAAAATAAAAAACTATAGGTATATCTAGGTACTATTTACGTTATTACGAAAACAATACCTACAAAAAATACATCGTCGTGGTAACAGCAATACGTTATAAGTCATGTTTTTGATTGTTTTTAAGGCGAAACATAAAACAGTACCCATACCTAACTCGGGCACGTAATAAAACAAACAATAGATAATATTATTATGCTACTGAAATTGCCTCATACATTACATTTAAAAACTTGTTTTCTTAGTAAGCAAAGTTTGTAAATAATCAATTGGTTTTTACTCAAAACCTTTATCTGACATATCTATGCTAGGAAGAAATGTAAAAAAAACATTCTAGTAAGTCTTACCTTGTAACTAAATGATTTACTCTCCTGGACCTGCTTGGATAAGAAACTTAGAACACTTTTAATTTAATACGAAATAAGTACTTCGATATTTAATTACCAAAAAAATTATAACGTTACTTATTACACGATTTATAAACGACTAATCCGGATTCTTAACAAAAATCCGAAATAACTTGTTTACGAGTTGACAGATGCGACCAGCGCATCCTAGATTCAAAGACCGATGTGAAGATAGCAGCATTAGCAGCCAATTTCGACAGTAAAAAATTCCGGAAACGAACGATTGGAAACATTTCAGTGGCGTACAAGCTAAGTGGGGCAAAAATTAAAAAAGAAATAATAAGTTTTTATAATTTTCATCGGATATTTATAATTTTGAAGTAAACTTGCACATAAAGAAAATAAAAATAATAAAAACGATTCAGTATTAGTTCATTTTCGGCAATTAAGTAGCAAATGAGACAGATAAAAGAAAAATTGCTCCCACAAAATCAAAGGGGTTGATTTCTCAACCCTAATATTTAAAAAAATCATAATTCCTAAAATAAAGAGCCAAATTCATATTTATTACTTAAAAAGTAAATCGCTAGTACTATATACAGTTAAAAGGAAAATTGCTTCCGAACGATCAAAGGGGCTGACTTCTCAACCCTCCATTATTTATGGAAACAATTAAAAATGAACCTAAATTTTAAACTGCCATATATTTGTTAAAAATGCATGTATTTCACCACGGGTTTTAAAGTTGGATAGCTTTTTTCTTCTTCTCTTAGAAACCAAGCCTTTATTTTGCTATTTGCCAATATTATACAGGGCATTTTACAAAGTGTGCACCCATGTAAAATTCACAAAATTTTAATTTGGGATTTGGGAAGTAAGAGCGTGTAAAAATTGAAATTTTTCGGACCGTTGGTTACAGCTTTCCTTTGAGTAGCTCCTGTATTAGTTTCATCTCAGTGCCGTGCGTGATAAATAAAAAATAGGGTTTTTCAAAAATCTTTCTTTAGACAAAAACACTCTAATCTTTAGTGCTTTCTTTGCCATAAGGACTTTTAATTATCAAGGATGGTAAAGCTATAGTTAATGTAAGTTATTTATACAAGGTGATTCAAAAGTACTCAAGCAAGTAAATAATATTTTTAGGAAGCGAAGAGACTAAATTTTTAACAGGTGTGGATTAAGGATTCCCTTTTGTACTTTTCTTGGAACATTGTCAATGTTTCGTATGTTTTGAATAAGAATTTCTTGTATATAGGAACTGATTTGGTATTAATTGATTTATTCAAACGTTTACGTAGGAATATTTGGAACAAATTTAATTATGTTATTATTAGACCTGTCAAAAAGACTTTTAAATTAATATTTTGAAGCAAATGAAGGTTTTTTTATATAAATTATTTTAAGGTATTTAAGGTATTTAAGGTATAAGATTGCAGGAATATTCAAGGTCACAATGAAACATATGCCAACGATGTTTTTATCTGTCAAAATATATGTATGGCATATTCTTTGGATTTACTGAGGATATCTATGTATGCCTATATATATGGTATTTTGAATATTCATGGCATATTCAATTTTTTTTTGTAATTCAGTACCGTTGTTTAGAAAATAAAACCCATACTTAAATACAAAAAACTGTAAATTAAAATTTAGTTGCTGAGGTTATTCACGTACTTTTCTACTAAAAAAATTATATATAAGATATGTATATGTATTATGAGATATTTATAAATTATTCACATTTACATTCTGATGCTTTTAATAATAAATGTTAGAATTAAGATGAAAATATCATTAAAATAGAAATATTCCAAAATCATGACACAAACATTACAGTAAATGTTACTTTTATAGCATCTTTGGGTCACTTTATTTATAGTAATGGATTCCTCTACATTTTACAGTTTAATTTGTGTACTGTGGATTTTCCTACACATCTATAAAAAAGAATCTGTAAGTGACGGAATTCTGTTAGCTAGATGTCTTGTTAACGTTGATAAACTAATTCCAGTAAGGGTTGCCAATTTATCGAGGAGACCATTCAAACTGAAGAAAGGACAAGAAATAGGGCTCTGTACACCGGTGAAAAACATAATCTAGTGCGAAGGCCGTTCCACTGGAAAAGCCACCACAAGTAACTCAGTTGACGCCAGCTTTGTCAAACAACTAGTTAAAAATTAGAAAAGTCAAAGAATTTATCAGTTTCAAATGTGACATTTTCGAGACAAGAAAATCTACTTGTTCAACATAGAATTTATACAGGCGATGCAAGACCAATACTACAAGCACCTAGAAGACTCCCATTTGCTAAACAAAAAGAAGTAGCAAATATGATACAGGACATGATGGATGCAAATATTATTGAAGAAGCTTCTGGTCTCTGGTGCCCACCTGTGGTCCTAATAACTAAGAAAGACGGAATCACCCTTGAAAGCCCAAGAAAGACTCAAAAGAAAGACAATGACTTGAAGGTTGTCCGAGAATGGCTCAAAAATGGAGTCAGACCTACATGGCAAGAGATAGCCAAATATAGTGGAACATTGAAGGGTACTGGGGTTCCTTGTATCTTCACGATGGCCTATTGCACAGGAAGTGGGAGAGCCCCGATGGAGTACTTGTAGTCCGCCAAGTGATACTGCCGAAATCACAGGTCAGAAATGTGTTGGAGGAGCTTCATCGCAGCCGTTCAGGAGGACACTTTGGTACTAAAAGGACACTTTAAAACCCAATTTACTATTTTGGCGAAAAATTTAAAATTCTCCTTAAAATTATATTTGAATTTACCGCCATGTAGAGTTAGTTGAGTGGCCAGTCGCTTTTAGCGCTGCAAACTTAGTGCCATCTCTTCAACAAGTGAGATGCACTACTACAGGGGATATATTGTGATTCACACTTCTTATAAAATATTTATTTATATTTGAGGAGCAGACATGCAAAACGCAGTTTGTCCAAAATTGTAAATTTTCAGGAATGACAAAAAACTGGTTCTTGGAAACGGCCTTAGTTACAGAGATCTTGATGGACTAAAAGCATTTTGCATGTCCAAGTGGTTTTCACAATACATTTTAAGCAGGATATAATACGATTTGTACATCCAAGATTTTATGAAATGATAGCTATTCAATTCAATATTGTATCGCCATCTATAGTTAAAAAATTGAAATTTTGGACAAACTGCGTTTTGCAGGTCTGCTCTTCATTTATAATTTTAAGCACCACACGTATACTACAAAAGGACCATATTTTATATTTAATAAAACTTACCTCTTAGGTGGGTATATCGTGAGACTTATCTATAAAAAATAAAAACTCTCCATCACGTCTCTCCACATACTTCGAAAGAGAAAATCAAAGTATGTGGTCTCTCGCAAATCTGTTTTCTTCTTCTTTTCGATTTTTGTAGGTCTCAGCTGCAAGGGCTTTTCGGCCCTCGCAAGTCTGACAATGTTTGGTTACGTGTCATATTTTTCTTCTTTTTTTTTCTTTAGTGGCCTTCACCGTTTAGAGTTTTTGGCCAGGGTATCATGAATAAAAAATATTCCTCACAATCTAACCTCCCGTGTAACAAAGACTTACGTTCGACGAGAGGTTAGATTATGACCCAGACAACACACCAAATACCAAGGATATCCACAGAATATCTTTTGGGGATATCCAATATATCCACAGGATATCAGAAATATTCTGTGGATCTAATATGGATATCCAAATGTCCGTCTATATCCAGAATATAGAAGATATTCTATGGATATTCAGCAAAATATCTAATGAGTATTTTCCAGACAATACAAGAAATCCCAGAGATATCCACAGAATATATTTTGTGGATATCCAATATGGATATAGAATTCAGATATTCAGCAAAATATTTTATAGGTATCTTTAGTAGAGGTTCATAAGTAACCAATGATTATTGAATAACGTCGAAAGAAAATAGAGATAAAAAATATTTCCAACAATCTGCCTTTAATTTTGCCCACTATAAGGGCACTGATAAGAAAGTCATCCTTATTAGGACTCTTCAGCAATAAATAGGAAATACTCGACTCCAGTCTCTAATAGAGTCTGATTCTGAAAAAAATTCGATCGAACTCATTTACGGCGGGTTGAGCATGAGTAGATACGAAAGTGGTATCGCCATCTATATTTAGGAAGCAAAATCAAAAATTACATCTAGAAGATATCCACGATGGTTTGCGTCCGTGCTTAGACTTTGATATATTTATATTAGAGAGTTATTGCAAGTTCACTTAAGGTCAGTCACTATTAGTGTTGCTCTTATTTTGACATCTGAGCATGCGTAGATCACTAACTTTATTAAAGATTGTGCCTGTCCATAATAAGAGTTATTGCAAGTTCACTTAGGGTCAGTCACTATTAGTGGCGCTCTTATTTTGACATCTAAGCATGCGCAGATGTTTATGTTCTAAAACTGACTTTATTAAGGATTGTGCCTGTCCTTAATTGTGGATGTTTAAGGGCAGCAGGTAGTGGAGACTTTATAGCTTTCGGATGCGCTCGTCATTTAAACCTTCTAAAATTATAATTTCTAATGCCTCTTTAATATTAGGTACTATTATAGAATTTATTTGACTCTAATTACAATGTCACTATTAGTAGCTGGCTTTATAGAAATTTGCAATATCTCTCTATTAAGGACAGGCACAATCTTTATTAAAGTTAGTGATCTGCGCATGCTTAGATGTCAAAATAAGAGCGGCACTAATAATGACTGACTTTAAGTGAACTTGCAATAACTCTCTATTTATAGTGGATGTCCATGGGATATTGAATACACCTTAAAAAAATTAATTTTAAATATCTGAACGGTACTATTAGCCACAATGGCGTAATTTTTAATAATTTGCTATATAATTACTATTATTTATGGACATTTGCATGTCTATAAATTACATTTCATGGATATAAAATAGATATCCACCATGGACTGGACATTCAGTGGATATTGGAATGTTCAGTAGATATCCAAAGGATTTGGTGTACTGTCTGGGGAGTGGAGCCCAATAAGACACTATTAGGTAATTTTTACTACCAACTACCAATACGTACTAGGCACATACTTTTGACTGTTAGAATTATTCTTTTGTCCTTTTCTTGTCTACATTTTAAGAAAACTATACATACTTATTTTATCTTTGAAGAGAAAGATTGTTCTTGGGAAAGGAGATTTTCCTGTTTAAAGCGCGT